TCATTTCATTAAAAATAAGGTGTTTTTTTTTATCAAATGCACATTCTAACATAGCTTAAGTGATTTCCTTTACAGATCTTTCGTTGGTTAATGTCTTTAAAACTCTTTTTTTAAAGTTTAATTGTATATTCTTCATGTTCAAGTGCTTAAAAATTGGTGTGGATGAAACTTTATTTTGCTATTTTTATCATATTTCTTAGTTTTCTTTGATTACAAGGAAATTAATGAAATTTGAGTAATATACTTAGTATACACTTGTAACATCCCAATAAATAGTAATTACCATTAATTAGAACTAATCACATTTACAGAATTAACAATGCAGTCTTAACTACAACAGCTGCTTAAAAGCCGAACGCACAAGATATACAGAGTTCGGAATCTAACTATAAAATATCAAGTTCTGGTCGAACGGTTTCACAAAAAAAAACTAAACAACCGAACGACCCAAAAATACATCCAAAACCACTAACTAATACTAATAAACGAGCGCTCTACTGCTCGGCTTTAACCTCTACTTCAACAAGGTTGGCGTCTACCAAAATTTCTTCTTCCAACAATTCTTCAAGTGGCGCCTCTCCATCTGCTCACATCCACACGGATGATCATTGCATTGACAAGACGGACGTACAAAGACATTCGACAACACAAAGAAGAGGACACAGGGTAAGCTTAGGTAATTTAATTCATATAACCAACATACTTTAACATATGTAATCAATCATACAATTCATACAGCAATATATATATATATATAATTGTCCAAGCATATAATAACTCATCCAAACTCTCACAACTAACGACTGTCCGGACTGTATGAATCCATGTAACCGCAGGCGTTCGTGCACCCGGGTGATGTAGTAACTGGAACCATCCATCATCAGCTGCCACCCGAGGTTAACCCTATCAGTCCAAAGTACTCAATAGGACTAGAGTCTCCTGCCATTCCCACGCATGACCTACTCCCCTCTACATGAGGACGAGCACTCATGGAATATCAGGATGAACAGCCATCAGCAATTTTACCATGGTCATACTATACAACATATCACATTTAGATCATAGAGACGTTCCCCCTTGGAACACTCGTTCGAATTTCACAACCATTTATTCATCTCATATAATATTCATCATTCCAAAATAAAGTAATACCGACTACCAGATAGATGAACCACCTGTATTAAGAAGGTTGCTCGACACTGTCGGTCGACACAGATGAAGGATCTGTATTACAAGGATGCTCGACACTGTCGGTCGACACAGATGGATGATCTGTATAAGGGTGCTCGACACTGTTGATCGACACAGATGGACGACCTGTATTAAGAAGGGTTTTCAAGAAAAGAGTAAGAGCGCTTGGTGTAAGACCGAGCACTACCCAATACGATTACTACGTGTAAGATCGACACTGCTCATTATGAGCTCTAAGTAATAAAAAACCTACATAGCTCATGCTCGACCAGAACCCTTCCCAAATGAAAGTATTCCAATTCAAAGAAGTTTACTAGAACACCAAACGGTCGAGAACCGTTTAATGTCGGACATACGTTATCATAGGGAAGTTGATATTCAAGTTTCACTTACATTCTCTCGTTCCTAAGCATGTATATTTCGTATTCATACGTATCACTCATATCATACATTTCAACCAACATATATCATATTCATTCAGTACAGCAACGTTCGATCATGCATACTCAACCGACATACATCTCATACATTCAGTTCATATCATGTTTACATACAACATACAAGTATAAATTAAATTACTAAGCTTCCCTTACCTGGTTCAGTAGTGAACGCCCAAATGCAAGGGTTTTGTTTGTCCTCTAACAGCTTTCTATCCAAGGAGCCACTCAACAACTTTCACTTAATCTAAGACACCAAAATCATAAACAACTCAGACCTATAACCCATGCATGCAACCAGAATTTTGGTTCGCATGAACTAAATGGACTAATGTGTAGAGACGAGAACTTACCAGTTCAGATCTCAGTTCTGTTCGGTTCAGAACGACGCTCACGGTGCAGGGAATGTTTCTACGGTATCTGAAAGTTGATCGGAGGAGAAGAAAGTGAGTTACGGTAGAGAGAAGATGAAGGTTATAGAGAGAAAGTAGAGAGTTTGGAAATCAGAAGCTTGGGGAAGAAGACGAAGCATGCAAAAGAGTGGGAAGAGTTTTTCAGAAAATCATTTTCCCCTTCCCATGCAGGACGAACGTCCATTCTCCTACCGCCACTTGGATTCCATTACCGATTTCGAATGTTCCAAAGTGATACTTGGCAGTTGCAGGCAGAGTGGGTGTGAGTGCGTTTTAAATGTCAGTGCACGTGTGGCGCGGTGCATTTAATGATGGTCAGAGTGTGGGGTTGGGTGCGTTTCTTAACACAAATTCTGAACAGAGTTTTTGGGTAATTAAAATGGGATTTGACAGATGGAGGCAGGTTGAATTTTCGAGATCTTACAACACTAATCATAGATAACAAGATAGATATATAAATTTTGAAATGAATTCATCATTTTCTAAAAGTAAAAATATCTTTTGAATTTCTTATGTTAAGGATCACAGTAATAAGGATTATTTATATGTCTATTTGTAACCATGTGTAAAGTGTTACAAAAATTTTGACTTTGTTTATAAGAAATTAAAGGTTTAGATTGGAGTTGTACTAGTTGATATTGTCGCCAACAAAACAAAAAAAAATCCAAAAAAAGAAAATCAAGAAGTCAAAATATTGTGATAACTCAAGTGACTAACATCAATGAAAAATAATCAAGTCATTATTAATTGCAAATATTGTGTTAAAGAAAAAATAACATTGATAATTATTAAGAGATCTCCAATTAACTTAGTTGAGAAATAATACTAATCTACATTATTAAAAAAATTTGGGTTAAATATGTTTTTAGTCCCTAAACTATTGACCGTTTCTGGTTTTCGTCCCTCTTCCAAAATAAGGTACAATTTGGTCCTCATTCTTTAGAAAAACGTTCGTTTTAGTCCTCAAAATTTTGTTTTTAGTCCTCGTTTTAGTCATCAAAACGTTCGTTTTTTCGACTAAAACGAACGTTTTTTAAAGATTGAGGACAAAATTGTACCTTAATTTGGAAGAGGAACGAAAACCAGAAACGGTCAATAGTTTAGGGACTAAAAACATATTTAACCCTTAAGATTATGATGTTGTGAACTAAACATTGTTTTTTCAATTAGTTACTATTTTTTAGTCAACATTATTTAAATTTTTTGGGTTAAATATGTTTTTAGTCCCTAAACTATTGACCGTTTCTGGTTTTCGTCCCTCTTCCAAAGTAAGGTACAATTTAGTCCTCAATCTTTAAAAAACGTTCGTTTTAGTCGAAAAAACGAACGTTTTGAGGACTAAAACGAGGACTAAAAACAAAATTTTGAGGACTAAAATGAACGTTTTTCTAAAGAATGAGGACCAAATTGTACCTTACTTTGGAAGAGGGACGAAAACCAGAAACGGCCAATAGTTTAGGGACTAAAAACATATTTAACCCTAATCTTAAATAAGTTCACAATGTTTCAACCAGGATTCAACTATTATAACATTCTATTTTGATTGAGATGTTGAAGAGATGATATCTTCACAATGATATAATCAAGACGTGTGAAGACCAAATATAGAAGAAAATAAATATAAAAAAACATGGATATGTTAAAAGAAAAAATATGGAAATTTTAAATAACGTTTTTTAATAAATTTTGAAATCTTATAATTGTAAATAATTAAATTATTATTGTAAATTTTTAAATTTTTTGTATGAATAATTTTTTTCATAAGATAACGAATTGTGTTTTTTATTCCTTTTGCGTAGTGCCGTAAAAAATAAGTTGTAAGATTGGCTCACCAACCTACCTAATTTAATTTAATTATTTATTATTTTGTATTTTAATATTATTAGTTAGTATTTTTTTATTATATTGTAGATGGTGATAAAGAAGAACATGTTTCAAAAGATAAAAATATCATAGAATTATCTATTCAAGACTCTGATATTATAAATGAACAAGTGATACAAAAATCATCAATATTAAAAACTTATTTACTTGTCTTTTGTACATGTTTTTGGATTACGTTTGGATGTATGATATTTTTTTTAATTGTTTGTGGAGTTTAACATCATTTTACAGTGACGTTTATTTAGAGTTGAATTAAAAAATTGTAATTCTTTTATTTAAAATAAAATAAAATTAAATGAGCTAGTGAGGCAACCTGTTTAATCCACCAACTCGTGGTGAGTCAAGTCGGGTTCGAATTTTTTCAACTCACTAATAAGTAAGTCGGGTTAGGTTGACTTACTAAGTGACCAATAAGTGATAATCGGGCCAGATCGAGTCGGGTTACCCGTTTTGACAGCTCTACTTTTGTCCAACACATGTTCAAAAGTATATTTTGAAATTTTCAAGAATTTAGTATCATTTATATTGAATTTTACCACTAAAAGTTAACAAAAGGAGACTTATGTTTCAAACAATGTTTTAAAATCTGAATATTTTTCATATCAAAAATTAATTTCAACTTTCAAAAGTTTCAAAATTTAGAAGAAAAAAAAACTAAAATTTCCTTAATTTTTTATTTATTTGAACCGGCACGCTTGTTATGAGTAGTTCGTTTGACTTGAGCAACACTAATATAAGTTTATATCGTTAGAGATAAACCGACACCTTTATCTATTTAAATTATTATTTCTAAATTTAACATAGTCTACTACTTATACTTTTCATAATATGTTTAAAAAATTTTAATAAAAACGAAACAAATGGAAATATTCATTTAATTAACCGAAGCCTTCCATATTGTTTCGTTTTTATTAAAATAATTATTTATAATTATTTATTAAATTGAGCACGTGTTTCAATGAGGCTATTTTATTTTATGGGAAAATACATTATTACTCAATAAAGAAAATAAAGTTAAAAGTACTAAATATTGTTAAAATTAAATAAAACGGTGCTGTCGTAGGATACGAAAGTGATAGAATATAGGAGGCTAGTAGGAGCGTGCGAGAGTGAGGTAGAGAAATAAAAGAGTGGCATTATATCAAACACCTACCCGACCACTTCATTTGTCAGCGTATCTGACAAAATCACAGCCACTGCGCCCAATCTCGTGAGTGCCCACTTTCCTCTCTACATTTTCTCACTTCCACTCACACTCGCTTTTCACTTGGTTGCTATTTGATGAATGCTATGCTGTTGGTAGGTTTAGCCTCTCTTAGTTTGTGATTTTATATGGAAACATGGTATAACATTTCAGGTGCATGTGTAAAGTTGTTTATAATCTATCCCTATCAAGACAGTTTAATGGAAACGAGTTGATGAACTGTGATATGCTGTTTGCAGTGTTAGTTTTGTGATGACCTTTGGCTTTTCTCTGGGAATTTCCCATCTTCCTTTACCCGGACGGAATATAATGAATACAGTTCCTGGTGCCAGGGAAATAGGGACAAGACAAACACCTTTCCTTGTGTAATTCTTGTATTGGTTCTTACCCGAGGGTGATGTTTTGTTTGACAAAAGACCTGGCTAATGGTGTTGGCATCTGAGAATTGACACCTTTCAAGTCGTAAATCATGTCCAGTCATGTATATAGCTTCTAGGATCCTTGCTGCTCATAGACTATGGCTTAGGTCTCTTTAATTTTTCTCCTTGAACAGTAAATTGTGTTTCTGTGAAATTTAATTTACCATGTATTTGCGTTTTGTCTGATTTTGATGGGCCATACGTTTCTGTTTTGTGCTTGTAGTGTTATACACTTCAGAGTTTTCTTATCTTCAACTAACTATTTTAGGGAAAAAACTTATATGCAATTTCTTAGACTCCTTTGATGTTGTTCTTTAATCAGAATTGAAGTTAAACTTTCGTAATTTTCTTGATTGGAAAACAACTCAAAAGACACGTAAAAGTTTCATCTTATTTTTTCTTATATTAATTATATGGAAGCATTAGCAGTGTTTTGAATGAGAGGAAGGAGAAAAAGTCCTTTACTATCCTCACTTTAATAGTTTCACTCTTTAATGACGCTTCTATGTTCTGAAACTAATAATCTTGGATAACTTTGAAGTAGTGCTTGCGGTGCTTGGATCATTTGCGGGTTTAAATATGCAAATCATAAGGAAATCTATCTTGAATCAAGTGAATTTGAGGAGGTCAGCTGAAAGATGGCTTTTGGCTCGGGATGAAGGTCCGAATATGCAATTGAGATATTGGTGCTCTGCAACAGCTGCCAGTTCTGATCAAATACTGGACCGAGTAATTGCACTGGCCAAGAAGTATGATAAAATCAATGCCTCAAAGGTATAAATTAATGGTCGATAGAGATTTGTCATTTTATATAGCTATGTTTAGTGCTGGATAATACTTTTTTTTTTTTTTTTTTCTGTTTTTACTATACAGATGTGAAAACATCAAAATATTGCTGAATCATCTTTATGCTGAGGAATAACATTTTGGGAAGTTTCAGATTACTTCTACAATTCCACTTGACCATTTTGTAGGTTACTGAAACAGCTGATTTTCAAAAGGACTTGAACATGGACAGCTTGGATCGAGTGGAACTCATCATGGCCCTTGAAGAAGAATTTTCTATTGAAATTCCTGATGAGCATGCTGATAAGCTTGCTTGCTGTGCTGATGTGGCGAAATACATAGCAGAGTTTGATCAGAAAAACGTGGAAAAGCCCTAATTTCCTAGCAATGTTTTGAGATATACATTCCAGTTTTTTTGGCTGATCTCTTTTGCGTCAGCTTAGTTACATTTATGCATACTATCTACAATTTGCTTTATTGATTTTGAGGTAGTTATTGGTAGAATGTTTTTCTAGCCCGTAAGCATAGAGATCCCTAAGTTAGAGTATTCAATGTGTCTTTCTTTTCTTTGTGATCCCTCTTAGGCCAACTTGACTCAACTTAGACTTAAGATTAACTCGACTCAACTTGGTCTGAAGTAGACATGGCTCAACCTAAGTTGTGGCTTATCTTGACCTTGCTCGACATCACTTGGTCTTGATCGAACAAGGATCCAATTGAACCTAACCCAACTCGGATGAATGCGAGTCGTCCCAACTCGGGTGAATGTTGATCTACCCAAACTCGGCTCGACCTAGGACCAGGCTGACTCAAATCGATTTGGGCCTAAGCTTTACTCAGATTGACTTGAGTCCAAGCCAACTTGGCTCGACTATGCTCACTTGGGCTGACTATAATCGACCTAATCTAGATTGGGGTAAGACTGACCAAGTCTTGATTAGTCCGGGATTGACCGGGCCTAACCTAACTTGGCTGCACATGGGTCGACCTCAACGTAGATGAACATGGACTTGTCTCGACTCGATTAAATGTGTGATTGTCCTAATTGGACTCGACCTGGGTTCTGGATGACTCATATCGACCTTGGACCAGGTTGACTTAGCCAAATTTAGCTTGGCCGGGATTTAACTCAATTGAGCTTGGGCCAATTCGACTTGCTTGGACACGATAGACTCGACTTGGCTTGGATTGACCTAGTCTTGATTGAACTAGGACCAACATAGGCCTAGCCCAACTCGGTTGAGCATGGGTTGATCTAGACTCAAATGAACGTGGGCCTACCTCGACTTGATTGAATATGGACTTGGCCTGACTTGATTCAACTTGGGTTCAAACCGACTTAGCTCAACCTGTACTTAGACTAACTTAACTCAATCTAGATATGAGTCAACTTAATTCAATCTAGGGTAACTCAGCTTGACATGATGCTAAGACAACTTTGTTCAACCTGAATGTGGCCAACTTGGTTCGTTTGTAGTTCACATCTACTTGGCTCAAGTTGGGCCTGTTTCTAATAAACATTGTTTTTCTTCTCACAAAGCATAAATTCTATTTTTCTAAAACGTGCAAGCTTTCTTTCTTTCTTTTCTTTTCACCCAATTAAACAATGGAGTACCAACTCTTGTAAATATGCAGCATCAGAACATTATTAGTCTGACTTAATTTGGGCAGTGCTGAGAAATACTTAATATGTATTCTACTTCTTAAACAAATTTTCTCCACAAAGCAGGCAAGGTCATCCTTGGTAATTTGCTTGCTACTCCGTAAAAAATTTGGCGGAAAATTATTTATATATCTTTAATATAAAATTTAAAGCAAAAATATATTTATTGGTTTTGAATAAGTTTTTTATACACTTAAAATCACCCACAAGCTTTAATTAATTTGTTCCTGATTTATATGATAATTTTTCATTTTGATTTTATCACTGACGTTATTAGCAATCTTTTATTTTTATAACTTTAAGAAACCAGAACATATGTTCTGTTTCTATTTTGTACTGATTTTATGCCAAAATTATGGTTATTTGTGACTGTTATATTTTTATAACAAAAACGTTTCTAAAAAAAAACAAAAAACTATAAACCTCAACTTATTGCACTTTATTTATAGAGAGAGAAGTAAATTCACTGGTCTTCTTAAAAACTTTGTTAATGCCCTATAAAGGAAGTGTTTTCTAATTACTGCAAATAAGTCTACATATAGGATGTACATATAGGAAGTCTAATCATTCGCATGCAAAGCGTCTCAGCTCGCTATGCGAGAACCTCAGATAGTGGCTCATGCTCCTCAAGCACTCGGATAGCGAAACCCATTAGTTGTTCGAATAAAAAGAATAATAATCCCAGACCCCAACCAATAGCATAGCGACTTGATTCGCTATGCGAATCATCAAACAGAGAGCAACCCTCTCAATCCATTCGCACAACGCACCCATCCGCTGTGCGAATGCCTTGGCAGAGAGCATCTCGTCAAGGTGACTCGCTATGCGAATTTATTCGCACAGCGAGTCTGCATAATCTGCAGAACGAAATTTTGCAGAATTATGCAACTCAACCACAACTTACCAATTCTACTCAATTTTCCCAACTTTTAACACTCCTAGATTGTTGTACAAACTTAATTAAACTTGACTAAGTGATTCTAAACATTCCTAACATCAATCTAAATTGTTTATGTACCAAATCCTACTTTAAAACCTCAATTTCATCAACTTAGAGACTCAAATTCCAATTTTCCACTTTGAACCTGTTTTTGACCATTTTGATGACTCAAACAAGTCACATATGACTTATCTAGACTACCTCATAGACCTTAACAACACTTGACCTGTAATACTCAAATTCACTACCTCAGTTCCTCTAAATTGTTTTTAAACAAGCACAATTCACTTCACTTCCTACCTCATCACTACCACAACAAATTACTCACATCAAATAACTCCAACATGAACAATAACAACATTTAGATTCATCCAAAATAGTTCATCATCATCACACTGCAGTTTCACAAATCCACCCTTTCAATACATTCAATTCACATTACCCTAAAAACTAACAATTGAGTCTTAAACAGTAAAATACTACCACATTGAACATATATACATATCATACAATAAATTAAAACAGTAGCTAGCTCTCCTTACCTCAAAGATTAACAGCCCAACTCACAGAGTCGCTCCAACCATAGCAAGGAAGCTCAACAGAAACCTACAACTCACCAATTGGTGATAGAAAACAACTCTTAGAACCTAAATTGAGCTGAAAATTGAAGAAGAAAACTGCAAGACACATGCAACATCACTGCTTTGCATGATTCAGAATCAAGAACAAAAGAAGAAAGGGGACAAACAGCTTACCCGCTGAGGAACACGAAATTGATCGGTCAAGATCGAAGCCCTCAACGCGGATCGCCTAGGCACTTCCTGATCGTCGAACAGATAACTCAACAGTGAGATAAGGTAGAGAGAAGTCAGAGAACTCAGAGGAATAGTGTTTTAGAGAGATGAAGTGTTCTTAGAATAATGAAACATGTTTATAAAAATCCTATTTATATTATAAGATTATTTTAAAGTAAAATAATCTCTCTCATTATTTTAATACACCTATATGTTCTAATACCCTATTTTCTAGGCCCTTACATATTTCAATATAAAACAAAATAATTAATTAATATTTCATTTAATTGATTATTATAAAATGAACAATTTCACTTATAAGAAAAATAGTCTATGTAATCAATTAATGAGTTTATAATAAAGTCTTTAGAAAACATTACTTTTTTATGAAATCATGCCCCCTTAGAATGCCCTTGATTCGTTTTAACTTTTGAAAAAAAGAAAAAAAAAACTCTAGTTTTTAATTTAACTTTCAATGCTCATTGAAAAGTTATCATAATGATAATTCAGAGTTTGACATATAACAACACAATGTTTCACTTATACATAATCATCATTAACACATATTAATACTTTTTTTAGCCTAACTTATATCGATAACTTTATACAATGTAGACTTAAGAAAATAATAAATATATATAAAAAGTCTAATTTGAATTGATCCTACCACGTGGCCAACGAAAACATGAATGTAATGTAACAAACGATTAAATAACTAAGATATATTTTATCTTCTTCTTCTTTCTTTATCTCGTGGGGACACCAAAGATCTCAGTCGAACCTTAATTTTGTCAAAAAGAAAAAAATTCGCATAGAAAATGTTTGCTTCCCTGTAACATCTTGTTGGACCCCTAGGTCATAAAAATGCTCATTCTCCTGTTTTTGTCATCAATGAAATTTAACAGTAAAATATGACATTTCTCCCAAATATTATCCTTTTCTCGGGTGAAAATATATAACGTTATTTCCTTTTTACTTTGATTAGAAACCAAGTCATTACTTCCCTGTTAGGAGTGTCCAAATGAATTGAAATTACTGAATGAATCAGGCACACTGTTCGTTTAAATTGGATAGAAAAAAAAAATTTCTAAAAAATTTGTTAAATTGAACTTAAATTACTTAATTTGCAAATTAAGTAGGTTGGAACAGAATAAGAAGGTCTTAAGGTTTTTATGAGAGAGGGTTGGAACATAATTAAAAATTGTTAAATTTTTAAAATAAAGATACACAAGAAGATTCAGTACTAACAATAATGAAGAAACTTATTTAAAGAATTATAACATATAGTTCATTCATGATGGATATTTTGAGGAAGGAAATTCATTTTTACTTAAGGATCATACTTTTTATTATTAAAATTAATTATCAACTCTATACTATTAATAAATATTTTGATGAAAGAATTTATTAAAAAAATATAATATTAATAAAACAGAAATTAAATCAATTTAAGAAATTGATATATTCTTCAATTTAAAATCTTAAAAATATAAATCTATAATTTTTTTACTTTATATACTATTTAACTTTCTCAATTTTATATAATAGAATAAGACTCAAATTTTTACACAACAATAAAATTATAATTTTTTTAATTATATATTATTCATCTTATTTATTTATAATTGTGACAATTTTTTATCTTATTTTAAATTTTGTAGTTCTATTTAGATAGAATTTGATACTTTAGTTTTATTTTCTATTGATTATTACTTTAATTTGTAATCATTATTTTATAATATATATTTTTTAAATTTTATTTATGGTTAATCATTGATGAGATAGGTAAATACAAGACAATTTTCACTTAATTGCAGCTCCATTTACCATTCCTCAACATCAAAGCATCCCATTAAATTATGCAAATCATGCTGTAAGGAGTTAATGTGATGATTTATTTGATGAGAAGGGTGAGCTTAAGAATTGAAAAGTGGGACCCAAAATTGATGATAAGTGCCAGGTGGGACCCAAATCACGCGCACCCCACACTCATCTCAATTCATCAATATCTCATCTCAACAACTTCTCATCAACCGTAAAACTCACTCCGAATCAAAGCTCTTATCGCATTAGGCGGCTC